CAGGCTCACTTCTTACATTTTAGTGGATAAATGTCTGCCTTGTATCCATATGTGCTTGACTAAAGTTTGTTGGTTCTTTGAGGTGAAGACAGGGGAGAGTTCATTTTGCAGGCCAGACACTCACCCGAGTGCTTTTGCTTAAGGCAGCGTATTTTATGTGCAGTACAAGTGTTTATGTGGGCTTTCCTCTTTGTCTAATTTAAAGATAGGTCATCAGGGCTCCAAAGTTAACAGAAGTGCTTACTGCCACCTCACTTAAGGACATTTGAGGGTAAAGCAGGCAATTTAAAAAATGAATAACGGTGAAGAGCACAGTGGCCCCTCCTGGAGCCTGGGGCCACTGCCTGAGTTAATGCTGACAAAGTGGCCGTTTCCTCACAGTTGTGGATAAAACAAACGAAGACAGAGAAAGGATGCCTCAGTGTTGCTGTGAAAACCTTGGCCCTGCATTTCTCCAAAGGTGTCTCAGACATCCCTAATAGCTCTTTGTCTATACATCTACATGTACTGTAAGCAAAACATGAAATCTGGATGATGTGTGATACCTCAGTATCACATGATTCCTTCTAAGCCTTCCCTCATTTATCTGCAGCTCTCCTCTTTCACAGAAATCAGACTCCCACCATCCATTACTCACTGTATCTGTTCAACCGCCATACCCATGTAAAGCATTTTCGGAATTGCTGACACCCCCCCCCCCCGCCCCGCCCCAAGAGAAACAGCTTTGCTAACCTGAGTGCACTTCCTTTAGTCTTGAGCAGTTAAAAGCTGTTTTCGAAAGTGACATCATTCCTTTTTTCCTGAACCCCCTTCTGTGAATTTGTCATACATTTGTAATAGATTTATTTGTCAGAGTCTGCATTTCCTCTTGATCCCTCCATGTTGACCTTGTGAATTTTCACACACTAAAGGTCCAGTAGCTTTTACAGATAAAAGCCTTTGGTCTACTTCCAGAGCACTGAAATGGCTGGTTTTGACGCCGAGGTTCAGGGGGGGGACTTGTCAGCTGCCTCCGCTGTCACGCCTGCAGTCTGCCTGATGGGTTTCTCCCTCTAACGTGTCAACCCTGTTAGCAAACAGACCTGTAGTCTGCCTGCTCCAGAGCTCAGTCCTCCGTCAACAAACATCTCCCACCTGTTTCCAGTTTGCCCCTCTCTCCTGAACATCAGTCCTACCTAACTGCCAAACTCCTATTTTCTGCAAATTCTACCCAGTTTTCCTAACCTGTATTGGCAGCTTCATCCTTGTAGTTGCTCAACCACCCATCTTGGAAACTTTTTTGACTGCTCTCTCATGGGCCACATCCAAGTAAGTCATCAACAAAACTTGTTGGCTCCAATTTTGGATTTACTCAGAATCCAAGCACTTAAACTGGGGCTTTGATGGCCACATTGCAGTATGTCCTACCTCTTTTTTGCTGCAAAGCCTTTGTCTTTAGGTGGTAGATTTAATTTTTGAAAACCCTCCAAAAGTCACAAGTAAGGTGAATGACAAGATATAGTAATCCACTATTGGACCAAAATGAGCTGACTTTTTTTTTGAGCTGAGCTGGCTTTAATAAGAATGTGTTTTCCTTGAGTTTTGCAGCTAACAGCCCTATAAATACATTTCCAAAACCAAACCAAAAAAGGACAACAGGGAATAATGAAATTAGAATACCCAGTTTAAGCAGTCTAGAGTAACAATTCTGATTCTACTGTTACTAATGATGATCACTGCAAATAATTTTTAATTGAATATGCTTGCTTCTTTCTGGTCCCTGCCCTGTCCCACCCCCACCCCTCATCCCAAGCTTTTTGTTCTTTTTTTATTTTGTTGTACTAAATCCTCTTTGGCTCATTCTTGGATCACATAGCCAGTGGATAGTGTACTATCTTAACCTCATTTAGACTTGATTTGCTATATTTAATACAGCACCACCAGTTCATATATCAGTATCTCTGGTCATTTTGGTCTAAAGCTTTTGTTCTCTAGTTCCAGGGGTGGTAAGACTTTTCTGCGAAGGGCCGGATAGTAAACATTTTGGCTTTGAGGGCCAGAAATGATCCTGTCACATGTTGTGTGCTTGTGTGTATGTGTAACATCTCAAGATCAAGGACTGCAAAGTACATCTGGCTGCAGTTGGCCATCCCCTGCTCTAGTATTTTCTGGAAGAAGTGCTCCTAGAGTCAGTATTCCAGTTTTGCTGGATGTGAAATTCTTGGCTCACATACCATGAGTCATATATAAAGCCTGACATGTTTCAAATATGTAACTTCATTTTCTTCTGGTCTAAAAACATTACAGTTGAAGTCTGATCCTCTAACTTGTAAGTTACTTGCTGTTTTTGGACTGGAGTCCAAGGGATTTGTTTCTGTTTCTTTACAGTCCAGCTGGTGTTGGTCATTCTGGGTTGATAGTCTCAGGTATGTGTGTGTTTGTGTCCATGATACATGTTTTTTTAACCTCATAATTTTTCTTTTAAACCACTGACCTTTTTTTTCAGCTTTATTGAGGTATAATTAGCAAACATTGTATGTACTTGAGGTGTTCTGTGTGATGGTTTGATATTTGTAGTAGTTAAGTCGCGAAGTCGTTTCCGACTCTTGCGACCCCATGGACTGTAGCCCGCCAGGCTCCTCTGTCCATGGGATTCTCCAGGCAAGAATACTGGAGTGGGTTGCCATTTCCTTCTCCAGGGGATCTTCCCAACCTAGGAATCGAACCCGGGTTTCCTGCGTTGCAGGCAGATTCTTTACCGACTGAGCTATTAGGGAAGCCCATTGATGTTTGTGCACATCTTGAAATAATTACCTCAATCAAGCTAATTAACATGTTGCTCACATAGTGTGTGTTTGGGGGGGGTGGGTGAGATCACTTAAGATCTGAGATCACTTAAGATCTAAGATCGCTTAGAGGATTTTAAGTATGGGATATAGTATCCTCAACTGAAGTTACCTTGCTGTATATTAAACCTCCAGAACTTAATTCATCTTGCATGATTGAAACTTTTTACTCTGAAGAGTTTTTAGTTTTTAGTATCAATACCTGTTTCATTTCCTTGCATTGGTTTTCCTGCTACAAGAACCTTTTATCCATATGTTGCATCTTTGCTTTAAATTAGTACATAGTATTTGCCACTATCTCTCAAGTTTTATTTCCTCATTTCTTTCTGCTGTGTTTTGTTACTAATTCTTCACGTTGCCGCATTTGTAAGTTTTCTAATTTAGACTACTTTGTCATTTTCTTAATATCTTTTAGCTCATTTTGCAATAGGATATAATTTTGATTGGCTTTCTGGGCATGTCTTCCAGCACTTTCATTGTATTAGCACATTATACTGTTCACTTTATATTGAAGGTTTTTTAAAAAGTTTTTAGGAGGAAGTGTGGTTTAGGATAACTCCTTAAATCTTCAACTCCTGTTGGACACAATTAACCTTTTTCACATTCATTTTCGCATGGTACTTGCTTTTTTATCACAGCAACCACCCTGAAACTCAGCTTGGCGAAGCTGATGTCATCAAAAGGATGCAGAGCAGTCCTGTTAAAACTGTGAACAGCTTCAAGCTGCTCATTTGCCTGGAGCCTGACAGATGTCAGATATTGGAGCCCTTGTGAGTTTGCCGTGATACCCTGAAAGATTGGTCTACTGTTAGGCTATTACTGATGCTGGAAACCATGCTTGAGAAAACAGTATTTTTTTACTGCTTTTTGCTGAACTAGAAGTACAGAAGAAAGATTTTCAAAGTTGTACTACCAGCCAGGAAGAAAATTTCTTTGGACCCATGTACTCAGATAGGCAAGCAAATTGATAAAAAAGAATATCAGGCATCCAGGAAATAAGTGTGTGGGCGTGTTCATGCATGTGCCTTTGTGAGAACAGGCTTGCAGGCAGTTGCACGTACGCAGAAATGTGTATTAGTGTTTCTTTGCCTCATTTTCTCATTGGGGAACTACTTGAGTCATTGAAAAGGAATAATAGAGCATGCTTGCATCTTGGTCTTGATGTTTAAGGATAAATCCTAGAGGTGAACACTTGAATTTGCCTTTGTGACCTGCTATTTAAGGTGAATGCAATTGCTTGCTAATTTCAGGTGCAATCAGCTTGCCAAATAATGTATTTTGTAAAGAAAACGTTGTGTCCTTCAAGAGAAGGCAAGGATGTGGATGAGGTCAGGAAATCCAAACCAGGAATCTTAGACATGGTTCCAAGCAGAATCTGGCCTAATTTACACTGTAATGAAGAGAAAACAAAGTTGACCTTTAAAAGCAATCAACTGCCTCCTAGTAAGGTGACAAACAGCTCTCCCTTCATGTTAACTTGTTGAAGACTGTGCTTTGTAGCCCCTAGTTATTATCCAGTTAGGTAAGAATCAGAAGCCCCAGGAAATGGACCTAGAAAATGCTTCCTGCACCACCATTCCCCACCCACCCCACCCCCATCTCCACTATCTCTCCCCCCACCACCGCCAACCTCTTTTCTGATTTTTTAAAAATCTGGCAGCTAGAGATTAGATTGCAGACTATACTGCTTAGTGATGTTCACAGAATCCTATAGAAAGCCAGAGCCCTATGAGAAATGGATTTAATCCAGCTGATTCTTCCTGTAACAGGGATCTGAGTAGATGACCCACTAAGAGCCTGCTCTAAGGTCATCTCGGAGTAACCAGGCTTTCTGACATCTGGCTGTTTAAAACTGGTCTTCAAGTTTTCATTTAAAATACATAGAAAAAGGAATGTGGATTTTGTTTAGCCATGCTTTTGTAAGACTGTGTCTATAAATTATAAAGACAAGTCTCAGGTTAGAATAAGCCATAAAGATCAAGGTATTTCAAGTAGTTGTCCTCCTAGAAAGCTAGAACCTGGGAGCTCCTGTAGTCCACTCCATAGACCATGAATGTGGCAACATCGGCCCCAGCTTCTGTGGACGCTAACTGCTTTATCTTGTGGTTGCTCTGAGTGAGAACGGGAGAGAGGCAGGAGAAGGCTGAGTGTGTAACCATGTCTCCTTCCCCGCAGTGTATCCCATGGGAAACGGCACGAGCAGGCTGTACAGTGCTCTCGCCAAGACACTCACCAGCAGCGCGGCGTCCCAGCACCCGGAGTACCTGGTGGCTGCCGACCCGGAGCACCTGGAGCCCATCGACCCCAAAGAGCTCCTGGAGGAATGCAGGGCTGTCCTGCACACCCGGCCTCCGCGATTCCAGAGGGACTTCGTGGCTCTGCCGGCCGATTGCCCCAGCAGCCACCCTCCCATTAGGGTCATGCAGTGGAACATCCTTGCCCAAGGTAGGCCTGCTGCATCTCTGCCTGTACCGCCGCCGCCTCGCCGCTTCTGCGCATGCCCGATGCACCTCCGCCTGGGCGGGGGCGGGGTGTCAGACGAGGGTGGGGGGCGGCTAGAGCCGGGGAGCTCTCCCAAGGGGAGGTGGGGAAAGGGAGTCCTTTGGTTTTCACTGATAAATCCAGCGATTCAGAGGTATTTCCTTCTTACGTGTCGGTAGACTTTGCGTATTCAGTGACAGCTTCTGTCTCCCAGCACATCCAGATTTCAAGGCCCCGGTCTCTTATTAGCCTGAAACTTTCTTTTGTCTTCAGCTTTCAGTCTACAGCACTAAGATAGCGTTTGCCAGGGAGAGACTGAGTCTACCGAGTGGGCGATGTAGAATCTCCTGCAGGAGATGGGGGCGGGGGGCGGGGGGGTGGGTCTGGGTACTCACCCAGATTCTCATCCAAACGCATCTTTATCGTTTGAGGCCAGAGATGTTGCCTCTGTTCTCTGTGCTTTGAGATACTTGTTGCAGTAGAGAGGACGTCTTTCCTGGGTCTGCTGCGTTTAAAAACAGCTGTGTCAGTCAACTTTGTGTAGTGGTGCTGATCATGGAGCTCTTGAAATTTTAAGAGGAAACCACGGTCACCATTTCCCCCTCCTTTTCTGGAATATAGAAGGGCATACTCCCTGACTTTTCCAAAATTTTGGATTCATTTTTTTCTTTTCCCAGATAGAGGTAAAAGCTGCCCGTTCAAAATAGGTGTCATTTATGGTATCTATAAAGGCTTAGTACAGGGCTAAATGTATTCATCAGTTCATCTGACATAGCTTAGATCTCTTAGACTACAAAGAATATTGTTTAAAGCTAAAACTTACTGTTTTATGTCCTGGAATATGTGGCTTTATTATGTCTTCTGTCCTGGAATAGAGACAGATAGTTTTAATATGAAAGAGTCAATTCCTTGCTTCATGTGGATGGTAAGAGGTAAAGTTTGGAGGTCAGTGCAGTAAGAGAATCCCCCCAGAGCACTTGAAGCAGAGAAAGTACTGTGAAGGTCTGAGGTGGCCTTACACCCAAGGAGACCTCCAGGTATTTAGCAGCTGACAACCGACCGGCTTTTGTATTTCAGCTCTTGGCGAAGGCAAAGACAACTTTGTCCAGTGTCCTATCGAAGCCCTCAAGTGGGAAGAAAGGAAATGTCTGATCCTGGAAGAGATCCTTGCCTACCAGCCAGATATCCTGTGCCTCCAAGAGGTGGACCACTACTTCGACACCTTCCAGCCCCTCCTCAGTAGACTGGGCTATCAGGGCACCTTCTTCCCCAAGCCCTGGTCGCCTTGTCTGGATGTGGAGCACAACAATGGGCCCGACGGCTGCGCCTTGTTCTTCCTCCAAAACCGATTCAAGCTGGTCAGCAGTGCCAACATCCGGCTGACAGCCATGACGCTGAAAACCAACCAGGTGGCCATCGCCCAGACCCTGGAGTGCAAGGAGCCCAGCCGCCAGCTCTGCGTCGCCGTCACCCACCTGAAGGCTCGCACCGGCTGGGAGCGGTTTCGATCAGCTCAAGGCTGCGACCTCCTCCAGAACCTGCAGACCATCACCCGCGGGGCCAAGATTCCCCTGATTGTTTGCGGAGACTTCAACGCGGAGCCCACAGAGGAGGTCTACAAGCACTTTGCTTCCTCCAGCCTCAATCTGAGCAGCGCCTACAAGCTGCTGAGCGCTGACGGGCAGTCGGAACCTCCGTACACGACCTGGAAGATCCGGACCTCAGGCGAGTGCCGGCACACGCTCGATTATATCTGGTACTCCAGGCAGGCGCTCAGTGTGCGGTCAGCCCTGGACCTGCTCACCGAGGAGCAGATTGGACCCAACCGGCTACCGTCCTTCAATTACCCTTCAGACCACCTGTCCCTAGTGTGTGACTTCAGCTTCAACGAGGAACCCTGATGGACATTTATAGACACTTGTCTGTGTCTTTTTAATCGCAGGGGTCTTAACCAGGGATGTTTCAGGAAACTGAAATAGAATAAGTTGACTGAGGAAGAGTTCCCAGTTTCTCACTTCTTTCTTTCATTGTTTCCAGCATGCCCTTGGGAAGGAACCCCATTAGCTCACATTGAAACCTTCAGCGAAAAAGGTTTTTGCACTCCAGTATTGCTTTGCATTTTCTTCTTTCCCTTAGGATTAATTTCATGTTGATCATTTAAGGGCATTGTATTAGGCTTGTTTTGAAGCTTTTTCTGTTAGAGGATACTATATTAAAATAGTAGACTTGCTTGAGTCTCCCATAATTAACAAGTATGCAGGAACAGTTTCTCTAGGCATTTCAAGTTATTTATTTGTGTTTTTTAATATCAAGTTATGCATGGCAATATTTATTTTTTTATATCCATGTAAAATTAAGTAAATTATAACATGAACATGTTAAAACCATGCAAAACATAAGTTATAGAATAATTTATAGTAATTTTCTTAAAGCTTTAAAGATGTTTTTATTGGGGTCTAATAAAATAGTGGTGTATAAAGGAGGTATTTAGTCTTGAGGGGGTTCTGTTATTTAAGTGGAAATACCAGTTCTCCTTGATTCATTCTTCATAAATCTTTGCTATGCCTCTGTGTTCTCCATTATTGTGTTTCTTGAAGAGATTCCATGGCCAGTCTTCATTATTTAGTCACTGTTAACATTTCCGGTATTCCCTTGGAGTGCTGTTGGTATTCATTTGCAGTCACTCTGCCATTATTTGTATTGAATGTGCTTTTGCACAGTAGATATATTTAGGGGCTGTTATGTGGTAGTGGCTAAAGACAGTAGGACCTTCTTTTCAGAGATGGGAAACTATTCCTGGTCTGTTCATGAAGCTGTGGTTGAGATTTACTAAGATGGCCAGGTAACTGGTTTTAAAACATCTAGAAAGCAGAATATAAAAAGTTAACCTGGAATTCTCTTTGCTCAGAAATAAAGTGGTAAAGTTAACAGGTGAAACTCCTTCCTAATGAAATCCCAGAAAACAGCCCACTGGTAATAATATATTTTAACCCATGAGTTGTAAATATTTGAGATTAATAAATTGTCTCTTAAAGCTAGTGTTTTAATATCTTGTCTTTTTAATGCATAGAGAATAAATTTGGTCTTTTAATTTTGTTAATGTGGCACCCACACAATCCCTGACAGTCAGACCTTCATTTTAAAGTGGACAAAGGTGGCTGTGTATTTGAAGGCGGCATCTGATGCTATATTTGTGAGGTATCACTGGTGACAAGGTTGGAGTCTGCAAAAATAGCTCCTGCAGGTATTGGAAATGCTTTTGAAACAAATGAGGGTTTCAGTATATATCAAAATATCATCTGTACCAGCTATCACCTGGTTCACATCTTAACAGTGACTGAATTTGTACATTGAGAAGCAGAATACTGATTTGGACAGGCATTAAATACTGTTTACCTGCCCTAAAGCACACCAGTTTGAAATTATCATACCCATATCATAAGCAAATCTGGATGAGAATAAAAGCCAAAAAAGTGTTTCCATTTCAAATGTTAACAGGTTATGAGAGAAGGGTGGGGGTGGGTGGGAATGCCTCTGAGCAAAAGGGCTCCTGGAAATACCGACAGGTCACCCTTCAGTATTGCTGTGGAGGTAGGCTAAACCCATACTTCTGTATGCTTTTATCTGTATTTGTCTTCATTGAAAATGTAGTCATGTGAGCATTTTATGTAGTTTTTTTAGTAGTTTATAAATCTTGCTAGGTGGCACTTTATTTTTACTTCTCTAGTCTTTCTTTTGTAGACAGCTCTGCCTTGGGGACCATCAGTTACCTGAAGGCATAATGGCAAATAACAGATCTCTGTTGTAGATTTCTAAAATTATCAATATGTTCCATTACTGAGTTTCTTATTCTATGCCTATGTCCCTTTTGAGCCAGCTTTTCCGTTTATAGCCCATGATATTTTGACTAGTGTTAAGAGTTTTAGAAGGTAAATTGTATGGATTCTTGAAGACAGTGAGAGTGGATTTTTTTATTCCTCCATGGCCGTATTTCAGGAGATTACACGAGGTGATAGGGATGACATAGTAAAGCATGATGGTGTGTATAACATTTGAGTCCCTTATTTTGGCTCCAGGATCTTTGCATATGACTTAAAAACTGCTCCTAATTTAAAATGGAGCCTAGGGACTTCCCTGGTAACAGAGCAGCTAAGACTCTGCACTCCCAGTGCAGGGTGCCCAGGTTCGATACCTGATCAGGGAACTAGATCCCACATGCCATAGCTTAAAACTGTGTGTCACAAGGAAGGACCTAATACAGCCAAATAAATATTTTAAAAAATAATTGGGCCTAAAAAGCCCAAATAATCTGAGCAAAGTCCCAGTGGGACTAAATTCTAAAAAAGAAGAAAATAAAAACACATGCTAATAATCATAATTGACTTCAACTGGAAAGGCATCCAAAAAATGAATGTGCTCGAATAAGGAGCTCTTAACTTTTTTAAATGACATGTATAAAAATACAGCACAGGCAGGCTTTTATCTAGAGTGGTTGGATACTGGAATGGCAAGAGGTCTGGAGCTGGGCTTATAAAAGCAAATTCTGTAGAAGGGCATGGGCTGTAAGTAAAAGGACTTAGCTGTGACCACTGTGACTCGAGGGCCTCCATTTTCTCATCTAGATACAGCATCACACCTACCTTGTCAATCTCAGATTTGTCAGATATTTGTAAAACAATAATGTAAATTTTTGGTAAGTCATTGAGTAAAGGTTTAAGGTTAAGGTCAGCACTTAAGGTTCAAAGCAAAAAAAGGAAAGGGCACTGTACTTGATGTCCTAACATATTCATGATGTCCTAACAAGCCACTCTTAATCCTTCCATTTGAAAGGACAGATAGTGTTAATAGAAATTAAGACCCAAATAGGTGAGGGGCTGTTGGGAGTGGTAAGATTTTTTCAGCCCCATTTGTCCAGGCAGATGTGAAGTTGTAGGTTAGTGATTCAATTTCAGGAGAGGATGTCATCCCTACTTTGACCCGTTGAGATGAAACAACAGCCACAACTCCAGGCCCGTTGTTTGCCAGATGTCTGTGGAAAGCTCACCTCTAAGAAACTATTCATTAGGACGCAGTCGCATCCATTCCTCTTGACAGTATATTTTGAGAAGCCTTGCTGCTTCTAGGCTGCTACTGGTAAACCAAGATGAAATCTCAGGATGGATTCCTATTTGCTTTGGCTGCTGAGACATGCAAAACCAAACCTTATAGCTGGATTTTAATTACTGTGTACCATTCTGTAGTATGTATTCATTTTGCCGTCCTGCCTTTTTCTTTATGTCATTGTCTTTCACCTGCTTATTTTTGTTGACTTTCATTTGTTCTTACAATATATAAACTATCTATCTAAAGTTTTTCTTTTTAATCTAAAGCAGAGTCTAAACTGCCACATCGAGCAGATTCAGGCTTCTAGATGTAGACCACTTGCATATTAGAATGCTGGACGTATAATAAGAGTATAAATACAATAAGAGTCCTGCATCACAGGGAGGAAACACCAGTCAGGAGAGATGATGGAAAGCTGGATACGGGCTACCCCTGACATCTTCAGATTGGTAAACCTGAAGAGAACACCCAGTAAAATTCTGCAGCATTTTAGTATTTACGTTTGTGAGAGCAGGGATCACACTGCATGGTGAGATAGACTTACTCAGACACTAAGCTTGTTTTAGCCCAACCCCTGCCGTTTTGTAGATGGGAGGGAACAGAGACTGAAGTCAGAGAAAAAGTTCTGTCTAGGTCTGCCACTGATTAGCTGAACTGAAACTGAGTCAAGTTTTTCTGAACTTTAGTTTATTTACAATACAGGGAATAGACCAGAAAAATCTCTTGGGTTTCTTAAAAGCATTAAAACTGATTTGCACTTCAAAACAATTTAGGTTAATTGCAATTGTTAATTGCTCAAAAATATTTTTGAAACATTTTGGAACAGATTGGATATACAGTTCTATGAAGGTCTCAAGAAAACTAGTGTGAACTTTAGCCATGTTTCATCTTGCCAGGTATGGCAGCACCTAGCTTAATTCACATCAGTTTCTTAAGTAACTTTACCATTTCTAAAACCAAAACCTTCCTTGGTAGGAAAATTTGTCTCTTATTCTTGTCCTTCTGTTTGTCACTCAGTCATGTCCAACTCTGTGCGACACCATGGACTGTAGCCTGCTGGGCTCCTCTGTCCATGGGATTCTCCAGGCAAGAATACTAAGGTGGGTTGCCATGAAGGGATCGAACCCAGGTCTCCTGAATTGCAGGGCAGATTATTTACCATCTGAGCCGTCAGGGATTTACCATCTGTGTCCCTAGTTAAGTATGTTTAAAAATTTAGGTTCTACTCCAAGAAGCAATTCAAAAGTATTTTTTCAAACAATGGTAGCATTGGTGGCACTTAATATATAGCTTTCTGAAAGTAATTTCTTTTAAAGGACAAGGTACTAACATAGTGTACTCTTTCATAAGAGTTTTAAAAAACTCATCCTAGTTATACATTAAAATATGAGAAAACAGCTTTAGAATCAATGAAATATACAGTATATAATATCCTAAACTACCTTTTTCTGTTGAATGTTTTAGAAAAGCTTAGATTAAGACAGATGTCTAAATGTAAAATTTGTGACAGAGGTGCCCAAACCTGGCTGCATAATGAAATCACATTGAGATTTTTTTTTTTTTTTTAAATACCAATACCTGGCTCCCCCTTACACACATTGTGATTTAAGTGGTATGGGATGTGACCTGGGCAATAGTATTTTAAAATCTTCCCAGGTGACTTCCAACGTGCAGCAAAGTTACCACTGTATTTTGGTGAATTCACGTCCTACAACCCAAATAATTTGCAGATTCTGTAAAACAGTTTAGTACCCAACTTTCATGCACTTATCACGTCATTAAACCTTGTAAAATAAGC